CTCTCTCTCTCTCTCTCTCTCTCTCTCTCTCTCTCTCTCTCTCTCTCTCTCTGTGTGTGTGTGTGTGTGTGTGTGTGTGTGCCTGTGTGCTTGTGCGTGTGTGTGTTCCTTTATCTCTTTCCCTGTGAAGACACAGCAGTAAGAAGGTATATAATTACAAGTCAAGGAGAAAAGGCCTTTCCAGAAACTTACCTTGTTGGTACTTGACCTTGACTTTCTACCTCCAGGTCTGGGAGATATAAAATTCTGTTATCAAAAGCCACCCAGTCTGCATGTTTCTTAACAGCCCAAAACAGGGTAACAAAGCTCTATTGGCCATCCCAACCAAGATACCTATATGCCAGACAAGCAATTCACACAGCATTGTACTTCTTTTATTGGATAGCCATGATGTTATCCTGAGGGTTGGATGATCTGTCAAATTAAACAAACCTGGTAAAAGGAAACAGAAATCAGATGCAAATTGATGCTTCATTAAAAGCTTCTCCCACCCCAGCAAACAGTATTTGCTCAGAATTATCTTCATACATTTCACTTCAGGATGAATATTCTAGTGTGCAGCTTTCAGCCCCACTCACCTAAGAAGTACAAATGCTGCCAAGGAAACACTATTACTTCTTTCCACTTTGCCTGGGAATGAGTCACAATGCAGAGATGGAAGCCTGCCTGCCGGTGATGGCTGCATACATGGATGGCAATTCAAGGTTCTCGTGTTACATTTTCATCTGTGGAGCGGAATGTTTAGCAAACAGAATTTGATCATCATGAAACATACAAAATGAAGAGACAGCTTTTCGACCATATGCATATAAGCAGAGGAAACCTGAGTTATGGATGTGGGTGCTGGATGCCTTTCCTCAGGTGTAAGAAGCCATCCACCTGCGGCAGGTTGTGACGATACCACACAGTCCTCACCTGCAGCCTTTGCCCTTCACACCGCTTGGGATTACCGCAACTTCTTTAGGAGAACTCCTTCTTGTAGCTACCACCAGCTTGCCCTGAGGTCTCTGCTTCTCGTTTCCAGTCACCTGGGAGGTTTCATCCTCTGGGTGTCCAGTCTAGGGTAAGTTCTTCCCAAGATCCCTTTAGATATCACAGCATTGATTCTGTGCTGTGCTGTGTTAAATGGTCCCCCCCCCCATCCTCATTGTTTTTTATGAGAAATCTGAAGGACAAATCATTGGTGGCCTGGATGACCCAGACCACCCGCCTCCACAGTTTCCTTTGTAGTGCTCAGAATAGCGATGGGCCGAGGATATGGCTCAGTCAGCAAAGTGATTCATTTGCAAGCGTGAAGACCTTAACCCCCAGAATGGATTAGGAAAAACTATCTGGGCTTGGTGATATATACTTGCAATCCCAGTGCTGAGGAGGCAGCAACAGGGACATCTCTCTGCCTTGCCACCATCCAGCCTAGTTTACCTGGAAAGCTCCAGGCCAGTCAGAGACCTTGACTCAAAAATAAATAAATAAATAAATAAATAAATAAATAAATAAAAGGTTGGTCAATAGCTGGGGTACAACACCTGAAGTTAGCACCCCCTCCCCCACACCCACTTTCAAGACTAATGATAAAGGTGTGAAGGACTGGCAGCCAGAAGATCTACAACTCAAAGATGTGGGTCTTAACCAAGTTTAATGCAGATGGATTTGAGGAAATGGTAGCTGTGAAGTGGTTCATTCATGATGGCAATGGGTTCAACTATATCCCCAGTCATGGTCCCCTAGAAAAGTGCTGGACCATGAACTCCTGAGAGCTTCCACTGGGCTCTCCTATACCTCACCGAGTTATGTTCAATAATAAATCTCACATCTAGTTGAAAAGAGAGAAAGCATCAGGCATACAGCATCCTTCAACTGAGACAGAGGAGGCAAGGGCACAGACATGGAGGACCAGGAAAGCTCCAACTGCGTCTTTATAGCTGTATCTCTTGTGTTCTCTATGTTCCTTTGTGATGAAGCAGTCTGGAAGCTGCAGTGAGGTTTCTCGTTGCATCAGGAACTAAGGAACCAGCACACTTTCCCCATTGCTACACATGTGCACTAACTGGAGGTCTGCAAAGCACAGAAGATTCTAACTTTGTTATAATCTCATTTGCAGTGTGGTTTTGACCATGGGCTTTTCTAGAGGATCATGGGAAGAAAAACTGCCAGGCATATACTGCCTACAATAATTTGGTAACAAAAATAGCACACACCTCATAAATATTCATTGAAACTTTAAAATTTCACAATGCAGAACCCAGGGCTATTCCCCTCCCTCCAGGTCAGCCTGCTCCAAGTTTTCTCCAGATTGTTCTGTGACTTTGCTTTGCTAAATAAACTTCTGTTCAAGGGTTTGTGTCTTGGCTGAAATCTTTTCTCAAAGAAGACAAGAACCAAGAAAAACCCTTTATTAGGTAACATAATTTAGAGAGATTGACCAGAGTAATAGTGGCCCTCTCTTCCCACCCCTTCTAGAACAGGATGTCCCACATATTTCAGCCAAGGGAATTCAAGTTTCCCCAGGGTTATAAAATAAAGAGCAGGGTGCCTTTTGGGTTCCACCAGTGTGGTACCGTGACAGCTTTCCTGAGCCTTGATCCCAAGATTTCAACTATTCCTTATTGCATCCCTGTGTGTATAAAAGTTGCTTTGCTTAAATTCTTGTGAGAAAGTGCTGTCTTCCTACACATGTGCCTGTGCTAGAAATAGCAACCCAGATTTGGGGAGCTGACATGATGGAGTAGCTGCTGCCCAGTGGATCTACTTGAAAACCGATGCAATTACTACTAAGACTTCAAGGGATAAGCTGGTCTAGGCATAGAATAATTCAAAAGGGCAGCATCTTAGACCATAGCTAGTAGACAGTTACACTGGAGTCCACAACGAGGCAGTTGGTGTACGTGGCCACTTCCTTAGACAGTCCTAAGGCGACTTGCTACATTTTGCAGAAAGAAAACAAACAAAAACAACAACGAAGCCTAAAGTCAGAGCATTAACCTGAAGTCCAGGCTTCGACATTTAAGAGTCGTGTAGGATAAACTGACCAACACTCGAGTAATCAACCACACTAAATATATCTGGCACCTATTTCCAAAGACTTTTGTCAAAAGGAAACTAAATACATTCCACTATAATGTTTTACAGACCGTGAATTATTTGAAAAACAGACACCTACGTAATAGCATCAGCTAAATGTATCTGGGTTCTCACAGTGTTTCATTAAGAGCACAAGGATAAAATGAAAGAACAACAGTAACCAAAAACTCTAACACTTAGTCACTTGTTACTTGGCCACTGATTCAGAAACAGTTGCATAATGTTTAACATCATGGATTCAGCTTATTTTAATGAGAACACAGCATCCTGAGCTACATTCCTCAGGGCATTAAATATATTGCTTGAGTAAAATGCTACATCTCAAGCCCAGGAGACTCTAGGCAAAATGAAAATTTTCAACAAACGCAGTTGTTTGCATAATGTCTTCTTGCAGTGTTTTCATGAAAGCGGACCAGCTTTTTATTTAAGGTAGTGTCTCACTGCACAGCTCTGGTGGGCCTGAAACTTGATATGGAGAGAGATCAGACTGGCTTCGAACTTACAGAGACCCTTCTATCTTTGCCTCCTTTTCAAGTTTCAGAATTAAAGTCATGTGTCACCATGCCCAGCCAGAAGTTTGGCTTTTTAAGCTTTTGAGGAGAAAAAAAAAGAATATATCACAAATCCAGTTGTGAATATCTTATCTCTAGTTTTGTGTGTCTCGTTTATATTTCCCAGTTATGACAGGCTTTCCCACAGCCTCTTGGGCAATTTTAATATTATGGCACGTAACCTAGTCATGGCTTCAGGCCTTTATCTGAAGATAAGGTATTTGCACATTTTAGATATTATTCAGTAAAAATTAATGCAAGACATTCATGCAGCCATGAATGAATTTCAAGTATTCTAGTAGTTATATTAGCTAAAGCCACAAATAGAGTTTATAAATTTACTTAACATATATAATACCATATATGTATGTGTGTATATATGCATTTATAAAATGTGTTGTGTGTGTCTGTGTGTGCATGCAAGCCTAGAGTTGAAATGGAATTTCATTACAGGAATGATAGCATTTCCCTGAAAACCCACAGACTATCTAACTAACCCCTAGTGCCAGTCAAAGAAAGCCTTCCTTCAAGTTGCGGCCAGAGGGGCTCAAGAGACTCCTCAGACAACATGGAGCCGCCATTGCCCTTGGTTGCCTCTCAGCACTTGAAGGTATGACCCTGTCACACCACGTACATCAGATGGGGGCTTGGAGGATTCGAGACGAAACTGACCTGGAAGTCTCCCCCTGAGGACTAGCTCCCCTCCCCAGGGACTCATGCTGAAAGGTGCTATGCAAGCTGCCAGGGAAGAAAAGCAATCAGCAGTCTGACCTGGATGTAAAACCTACAAACCACAACAATAGACCGAGCAAAGCATCCCCAGTGGTTCAATAGCGTCCCTTACATCTTGGGGGTATTCCATTGGACTTAAGGCCTACTCAATGGGTGGGAATCCATGCCTGGTACTGTAACCTAGACAACTACCTATGGTTGCTAAGGTTGTGGACCATTAGGAAGACGTTCTACTGCCCCTTTCCTAAGCCGATATGTTTTTGTTTGCATTCTAAATACTCATCCTTACACCCATAGATAAGTGCAGCTCTCACTCATTACCAAAGAAGTTTTTGTTTTGTTTTTGCAGCATATAGAGATGGTTCCCGAAATCCACAAATGGTCAAATGAGAGAACACACCATGGGTTTGCTATCCCAATTGATACCGCTACAAAGCAATCCCTACATTAAGATTAAGGAAGCATCACAGAAGAGGAAGCAGAAAGACTATAAGAATAAGAAGCTCAGGGTGTCTGTGAGATGATGGCTTCTATCCATGAACTCTCTCCACTGGGATTTCCTAACTAAGAACTGCATAAGGACAACACCAATCAGCATGCCAACACGGCTGGAGGGAACTTCACAAGGTCCACTCCCTAGATGAAAAGTCTTTGAGTATTCAATGGCTGCTGAGAGAGTTTTCTCCAGGTAAACTTCCTAATAAGGTATTCAATCCTGAGAGGTCAACACTGAACGCATGTATGTAAGAGCAACACTGACTGAACTCTCTCTTTGTCTCTCTATCTCTTTCTCTCTGTCTCTCTGTCTCTTTCTCTATGTCTCTCTGTCTCTCTCTGTCTCTCTGTCTCTCTCTCTGTCTCTTTCTCTATGCCTCTCTCTGTCTCTCTGTCTCTTTCTCTATGTCTCTCTGTCTCTCTCTCTATCTCTCTGTCCGTGTGTGTGTGTGTGTGTGTGTGTATGTAAAACAATAATAACTACAGAAGAAGAGGTCAGGAATTTGAGAGAGAGTGAGGGTCACAAGGGACAAGCTGTGAAGGGTAGAAATGATATAAATAGAGTGCTCATATGTGCAATATACACAAAAAAAATCTAAATTAAAAATGTTAAGTAAAATGGAGCAATACAAATAGTAAAAATGGTCAAAGTATATTACATACAAATATGAAGATGTCATAGTGCAACTTCTTTGTTCAAGTAATCCACATTAGTAAAATTTTTATGAAAAAGATAGTTGCAATTAACTCTTAACAATACATTTCATTTAATTTGGTAAATGCAAAGTAAAATTATGACCAAATGTCAAAATGTTTACAGTTTTATTTTCTATGCTGAGTGAGGGCTCAATCTTGATAAACAATGC